TTTCTGTAACTGAACAGGTATTTTAAAAATATTTTGCCTAAGCTATGGACACAGGTAAAGGCTTGGAAACTATCTCATTTCTGAGATTATTGTGTGTTAGAGATATAGTTCTGATGTCTGATACGGGTATAGTGGTGTTTGATTCACAACATAGACTTGCACATAGAATTAGGTACATGAGACATATCAGTAAGTGAGAACATCACAGTCTTGTTTCTAACTGCTATATTAGGTTCTCTTTTGGGAGTCTATCTCTCTGTCTTAAAAAGCAGCCTGGTAATAACACTTGCAAGTTTTAGGCACCACAATACAAAAAAAGACATTAAGCTATTAGAGAGTGTCCAAAGGAGGGCCAAAGGATGGTGAAAGGTCTGGAGAGGAAACCGTATGAGGAGTGGCTGAGGTCACTTGGTCTATTCAGCCTGGAGAAGAGGAGACTGAGGGGAGACCTCATGGCAGTCTGAAACTTCCTTGTGAGGGGAAGAGGAGAGGCAAGTAGCAGTCTCTTCACTCTTGTGACCAGTGGCAGGACTTGAGGAAATGGCATGAAACTGAGTCAGAGGAGATTTAGGCTGGATATCGGGAAAAATTTTTTCACCCAGAGGATGGTTTAGCACTGGAACAGGCTCTCCAGAGTGACAGCACCAAGCCTGCCAGAGTTCAAGAAGCATTTGGACAATGGTGTCAGGCACATGGTGTGATTCTCGGGGATGGTCTTGTGAAGAGCAAAGAGTTGGATTTGATGATCCTTGTGGGTCCTTTCCAACTCAGGATATTCTACAATTCTGTGATTCTATAATCCCACTCATGTAGCACAACAGTCCAACCTATGACAATGTTTAATGCTGACACCTAGGGATCAAATTCATTACTGATAATTAAGATTAGAAAAAGCTAAATGTTTTAGCATCTGAGTATCAGTGAAACAAATCCGGATTTCTGTTAGGAAATCCAGCTGTGCAACCATCCTCAAAAAAAATGCAGGTAGCATGCATAGTAGCTTATTGAACAGACACCAACAACTGTTAGGAAAATTCTGTGCAACAGAAACACGGGATAACATAGAAGTAATTTATGCTGATCTATTTTAATATGAACACATACAGAGTAAGTTCTTCAGCTTTGACCTGAATCTTTTTCTACCTGGAACATAGATGTTTCTAACAATTTGTAATTGTGGCAGATGAAGGTCCTCTTTCCTCTGGGTATGCACAGGTGGCTCTGAGGCTGTGTTTGTATTGCAATTTTATGAGACACATAGTGACAAATGCATTGTATATGAAATCCCAGCAGATTGAGGATTCTTTTGTTTCATTCAGCAAGGGCTATAAATAAGCCATGTGGCACAGAACAGACGGCTGAATGAAACAAATGCACACTCACAAAATAAATCAGAGAAACCTCAGCAGTTTACAAATGGACGTTTTCAACTGGATCCAAATAGAGAGGCAGAGAGCTTTTTTTATACAAATGAAAGAACAGCTTTACTACTTTCTACAAGCACTTATGGGAAGAAGTTTCTATCAAATATTCATGGTAGCCTCTTGTCTACACAAGTCTGGTTGACAGAGTAATAGTGTGGACTCACATGGCACCAAAACTCAGCCATTTTCCCTTTCCCCATCCAGTAAATCTGTGGCTGTCATTGATAGGAGTTGATGGGAAATGATAGCCTTATTGAACGGCCTCATGAACTGTAACTCATTTGTTCTGAAGACCCAGACTGACAGCCTCTGCATTTCTCCCTTCCAGCGAAATTGAGTATAAATCACTTTATCATTTTTCCCCATGACAGTTTATCAGAATTCTGGAGTTTTATATGAAGTCATAGAGGCTGGTGGTAGAAATAAGACTTCCAATCGATCTTGTTGTTGGAGAGCACTGCATCTTGAAAGGTTTAACATTCCCACAAAAAATTGCAATTTGACTTCCACTGAGCAGACACACGTGGACACACACTTGACATGTGGCAGAGAGGGAAAGCTAATCAGGCTCACTTTTACTGGGCAAATCATCTAAGCTCATGATTCACGTGAAGTTAGAATTTACAATCACTTTCAGTTCTTGGTAAGGCAATTTCTCATTTTGACTTGTAAATTTCCTAACATATCCCCCAATCAAAATAATAATAAAATCCTTTTATACAAAATACTACTTCACTGCAGAAGAAACCCTCTACTGTCCTTTGCTTCCATTCTTAATAAGGTGCAAAATAGAAAAAGAGGATGTGTATACTAAAGGTAAATGTAGACTGCTGTTCTAATCTAGAAACTATTTTATGAATTTGTTATTTAGAAAAATTAAAGACAATCACCATCTATCAGAATTATATAATGTCAAAGATATTAGTCAGTACAAGAAAGCCAGCTAAGTTAATGATTTCTCTTCTTTCAAAATCCCCTATGAGTTGATATGCACTATGTAAATATTATTCATTAATTCCAGCACTGAAGAACTTGCTGTCCTTAAGCAAATAACCATCTCTATTAAAAAGGCAAAAAATATCAAGCCAGGTCCACAAACTCTCTACATGAAGCAACAAAGAACAGAGAAACTTAGAAATATATATAAACGTGTAAAATAAAATGACTTACAGTCTGACTTAGGTCATTATAAACTCAAGGACATTTAGGGATTTGACGACCACTGTCTAGGAATACAAATCATAATTGAAGTCATATTTTTTTTTTTTTTTTTATTACACAGAACTAAAGAATGTTTCCTTGCATCCCTGGAAGTAGAGCACAGACAAAGACCTAAGCTGAAATGGTTGAATTTTGGTTTCTTTTGTGCTTTAGGATGAATGAAATCCTCCAACTGATTATTTCTAGCTTTGGAAGTTATTACATCAAATTTTATTTTCTTGATCCCTGTGGGTAGGTAGTCAAGAATGTAAACCCTTCTATATAAGTGATAGGACAGGAGGTAATAATTTCTGCAGGTGGATGATACAATGAAACTGTGTGATCTAGCATGTTCCCCGTTCACTACATTTATTTTGTCAAAGTGCAGCTCTACGGAGGTGGACCGCACAGATCTCCCTTCTTACCAGCCACACTGACTGTGGCAAAATTCACAGTAGAAAACACATATCAAAGAGTAAACTAAAGCCACCACAGCAGAGGACATGGCTCAAAACTGAAACCATTTACTCATTAATGTTTAGGCCACGGTGTAACGCGTGCCTAAATGCCTAAAATTAGCTTAAAAGTGGTTCAACAAGAGCAAAAACTTCATGCAACGTCAGCCCGTTCCCCTTAGAAGGCATGTTAATACTCTCAAAGTTGCAAGGGAAAAAGTGTTTGAATTTGATGGACTTGTCAGTGTCAGTTTAATGGTTGGACTCGATGATTTTCCGACCTGAATGACTCTGATTCTATGATACTTGTAACAGAGCAGATCATGAGCATGTGTCTTAATTATTTTAGATGGTTCAATATTGACATCAACTGCCTGTTTTCTACTCCCTTAGCACTGACTACTGCCATTCTTAACACTGACTTGTGCAGCTGTAACCTCCCCCACCTTTCTTTATTAAACTCTGCTAAATGTTATTTCATCTGCTTTTGTATGAGGTTGCATCTATCATTAGACAGCAGACACTTTCTTGCTCCATTACTTCTACTGATGATGTGGAATTTTGCATAGCTGATGGATCAGTAAGCTAGAAAAATGTGCACAAAGTATTCAGAAAAACATGTGAGATGAATTTGAATTAAATGTAAACTAAAAATAAAATATGGAGATCCCTGAGAGATCAAGATTAGGGCCATAAATAGAACATAATAAAATGTGTCAAAAGTTTCTTATTGAATCCAATGCTAAAGGCATTGAGAAGGCAATTTACACCCACGACATGAACCTAAACCAAGAGCGGTTTAAATCTGAATGCAACCAGATCCTTAATGGTGGTATTTGTAGGAGAAGAAGAAGAGTGTATATACAAAGGTATATAAAAGTGTTTAGGGTTTTTTTTGTTTTGTTTGTTTACATTGTAAAAATTAAAACACAGGGATCACTTGTGAAATGCTTTATTTTCCTATCTTGCTATTGAAATCCAGTTTGTGGAAATAAACCTGCTGGAATCTTTCCTCTTAGATAAATCAATGTATAAAGTTCCTAGCTTCATGCAGATTGCAGAGAAACAATTTCAGAAAGGCAGCTGAACAAATATGTGTAAGAAATAATATTGTAGGGTATAAAAAAGAACATACAAACTGAAATGGATTTTCTTTTCTGTTCAAAAATGCAGGCTCTCTACAGCAAATATTGTGCATATGCAAATTTAGTGCATCTATATATATCTATTTTTGAAAATATTATAATGCTCTTATGAAAAATTATTATAGTTTTGAAGTCTGTTTTTGCCTTTAACTTCTTCAAATATGCTGACACTGTACATTACCCTTAGGTTAAAAAATGTCAAGTGAGCAAATGTTCAGAGAACACATTGCCCTGCAACTGTCATAAGGTTATTGCTGTTTTCATGTGGAGAGTTTTAAAGGCTGTTGAGATGAAAAGGAATTATAGCCAAGTCACTTAAGTGTCATGAATTTTCCACTATGCTTCAGGCATGCTTTTGGGAGCTTATGTATGTCTTGCTAATAGCTTGACCTTCATGGTATATTAAGATGAAATTTTATGCAATGAATATGCTGATAAATTTGAGCTAAACAGCATACTTGGAAACAACCATGTTTAAATATGCTAATTGCAGCAGTTTTGTAAAGCAAAATGTTACTATAATTGCAGAGAGGATTGAGATGATGACTATCACACAGTGGTATGCAAGCAAGTCTGTCTTAGCATTTTATGGGAGTGTTTTCTTCCTTTGGGTAACCTATATTCCTTTCTGTATTTATTTATAGATTAGAGAACACAAGAGAAAAAAAAAATGTGTCTTTCTTCAGACATTTTACTGCTCCCACCCTAAAGTGAGTCAGAAAGACATTTCTTAGCATATTAATCAGACTGATTTTTCTTTCCTCTACATTCCAGATAGAAATACGTATATTATAAGCAAAGTTTCATTGCTGCTGACATGATGGTGCTGAAGCACAACAAAACTACTGGAAAAAGGAGGCAGGTAAATGGTATCAAGGCAGACGCATCCTTGTTGCCGTAGATGAATTGCAGGTGTTCCATGGGGGTCATGGGTTGTGACCAGTGAAAAGGTTTGTAAAATTTCCAAGGCAAAGCACTGCAATTCAACTATATGAGAAAGGCATCCTTATATGGAGGGAGACAAGAATCACAGAAAGACTTCTGTGAAAGAAATAATAAATCTTTTAAAAAAAGGAAAATCAAGAGAGATTTTGGAAAGATTAACAGACTGAAAAGCAACAACTCTCTGAAAAGAAGGGATTTAGAAATATCTGGAGTTCAAAAAAATAGAGTAGGCAGATGGTACAAATCCTTGACTTTATGTATATAATTTGGATAGTAACATGGATAATAACTGTGGGACCAGATGGGATCGACCCAAGGGTGATGAGGGAGCTGGCGGAAGAGCTTGCCAAGCCTCTCTCCATCATCTACCAACAGTCCTGGCTCACTGGGGAGGTCCCAGATGATTGGAAGTTGGCAAATGTCAAGCCGATCCACAAAAAGGCCGGAAGGAGTAGCCGGGAAACTACAGGCCTGTCAGCCTGACCTCAGTGCCTGGCAAGGTTATGGAGAAGATCATCCTCAGTGCAATCACACAGCACCTACAGGATGGACAAGGGATCAGACCCAGCCAGCACAGCTTTAGGAAGGGCAGGTCCTGTCTGACCAACCTGATCTCCTTTTATGATCAGGTGACCCTCATGGTGGATGAGGGGAAGGCTGTGGATGTGGTCTATCTGGACTTCAGCAAAGCCTTTGACACTGTCTCCCACAGCATCCTCCTGAAAAAGCTGGCAGCCCATGGCTTGGACAGGGGCACCCTGTGCTGGGTTAGGAACTGGCTGGAGGGCCGGGCCCAGAGAGTGGTGGTGAACGGTGCTGCATCCAGTTGGCAACCAGTCACTAGTGGTGTCCCCCAGGGATCAGTGTTGGGCCCAGTTCTGTTTAATATTTTTACTGATGATTTAGATGAGGGGATTGAGTCCACCATCAGCAAATTTGTAGATGACACCAAGTTGGGGGGGAATATTGATCAGCTGGAAAGCAGGAGGGCTCTGCAGAGGGACCCGGACAGGCTGGACAGGTTCAACAAGGTCAAGTGCCAGATCCTGCACTTCGGCCACAACAATCCCCTGCAGCGCTACAGGCTGGGGACAGAGTGGCTGGAGAGCAGCCAGGCAGAGAGGGACCTGAGAGGCTACATTGACAGGAAACTGAACATGAGCCAGCAGTGTACCTAGGTGGTCAAGAAGGCCAGTGGTATCCTGACCTGTATCAGGAACAGTGTGGCCAACAGGCCCAGGGAAGTGATTCTTCCCCTGTACTCAGAGCTGGTGAGGCCACACCTGGAGCACTGGGTCCAGTTCTGGGCCCCTCAGTTCAGGAAGGATATTGAGGTGCTGGAGCAGGTCCAGAGAAGAGCAACGAGGCTGGTGAAGGGACTCAAACACAAGTCCTATGAGGAGAGGCTGAGGGAGCTGGGGTTGTTCAGCCTGGAGAAGAGGAGGCTCAGGAGAGACCTCATCACTTTCTACAACTCCCTGAAAGGAGGTTGTAGCCACGTGGGGGTTGGTCTCTTCTCCCAGGCAGCTATCAGTAAGACAAGAGGGTATGGTCTTAAGCTCTGCCAGGGGAAGTTTAGGTTGGATATTAGGAAGAAATTCTTTACAGAAAGGATAATCAGGCATTGGAAGGGGCTGCCCAGGGAAGTGGTGCATTCTTCGTCCCTGGAAGTTTTCAAGATGAGACTGGATGTGGTACTTAGTGCCATGGTCCAGTAGTGGATCAAGGGTTGGACTTGATGATCTCGGAGGTCCTTTCCAACCTGGCTGATTCTACGATTCTATGATTCTATGATTTCACTTGTTTCATATTTTATTTCTTCAGTTTTGTTAATTCCTTTTTTTTGTTGCATTTTATCTTTGTTACAGAATTCGTCTTTGCAGGACACCAAATGAGAAGCATGTTTAAACAACTGTTTCCACCATTCCCTAACAAAATGTTCTCTTATGATACACCACTTGCAAAATGGTAGACATTTTTTTTGCCTCTATTTCTGTATTTAATAGTATAGTGATTAGAATTTTTAAAATTAATGTAAAATCCCCTTGGCCTGTTTTAGACTCTCCCATCACTCAGATAAATACAATCTCTTATCTGCTATAATGTGTTTTGAAACACAAGTGTCTCAGCCTTGCCTGCTGAAATTTCAGGTAGAACTAGTAGCAGTATTTCCTTGGAAGTTCCTAGTTGGAAACTATTCCAGTTGGAAACTATTCCAGTTTGTAAAATTATAAGGCATTCACGGAGTCAGAAAGTGGGAATAACTGCTATGACCCTGTGATTAGGTTTCCTATATTATCATAAGGTGTCTCTATTCTCTCTCCTCTGCCTTTTCAGTGGAACCACTCCTGTGGGCTCCAGTGTTATTTAAGTTTACTCAGAGGGGAGATTTGAGTTGAGTTTTCTTTCTGATAGTGAGACCTGTATCTCTGCCATGACTCTTTGAGGTCTGTAGCATTTGATTTCACTATATATATATATATATATATATATATATATTCTTTTTTCCAGATACTCTGAAAGGCCTGGAAACTCCCCTGCAAGAAAAGTTAGTTTTGTTTCTTCTTGATGTGTTGTTTGTTTTTTTTTTTTAATTTTGTGGGATTGTGCAGTTTGTTTTTGCTTGGTTAGTTTGGCCTTTTTTTTCCTATAATCAATGGCCAACAAAATAATGAATTACAGAGTTCTCATACATCCTCTTTTGACACATTTTTGCTGTGTATATGTATTTTTTGATATTAGAACTGTCATGTATCCATAACTGAGATATATTGTCTGTGCACTGCAAATATAGTTCAATATCTAGTTCTGGATTCAGGCTCACTTAACCTAATTATATCCATCAAATATTAAGTTTTCTTGGAAGTAGAACCAAACAAAAAATAGTTCATTTGCCTGTGAAATGCTGGTAATGATGGGATTGCCTTATCGTCTGCGTTTCTTCAGTTGTGATCTTGTCAGATCTCATAAGGTAAGCAGATTCTGGCCTGCATAATAATTTGTTGGGAACTTTCCAAAGAAAATCCCAGGTGCCAAGGAAAGTAGCACTGATGATTTAATATTTGGCAGTCTTCTCCCTGTTCAGTAGCAGACCACTGTCTCAGCATAACATTGAGGAACCATTTGGTAACTCAGTGTGCCAGCTTCCAGGGGAGACACAATCAGTGGAGACAAGACTTGCAGAAATTTCTGGGGTACTTCTAGAAATTTGAGAAGACAATACAGCATTTTTGCATATAAACCAAAGATGTTGCTTGCACAGTAAACTGCTAAACTGGCTGGGAGGATTTGGTACGTGCTATTGCAAAGTCTATTTTAGAGCACTGAATGAACAACATGAACACACAAACTTACATGAAGTGTTCGGGGACAATTCATGACAGCTATTCTAGACTATCGTTGGCATTAATTCCTGGTTACTACTTTTGGCATTCTTCCTAGAAAGATAGACAAGAGTTTTTAGATGCAGTGTAATTGGATTATTAGGCACCCCTAAAATAAGTAATTTAGATAAAAGGAACAGTTCCCATCAGATCAAGGAATAGCCAGGGAGCTGAAATGCCTGATTTATCTTCCTGTTCTGTTAATTTTGTGCCTGTGGCAAACCATTTGGAAAGAAAACTGGACTGCCTTATCAGGATGCAGTTTGCACAACTATTTCTAATCTATTCATGTGATGTTTCAGTGGGTACCTTAGCATGCATTAGTTTTTCACCTATAATGAGCTTTTTAATTAATAATTATTGTATTACTTTCAAATAAAAGTTCATCAGGGAAGGGGAAAAAAGTATCCTTATTATGGCTAAGCATTTTTTTTTTTTAATCAAAGGGCTGACTTCTGTAAGAAAATTTTATATTTATAAAGGCACCTTCAAGAGAACACTGCTAGTACTCTGTGCAGAGACTTGAGAATAATAAAATCGTAGAATCACAGAATCAGTTAGGTTGGAAAAGACCTCCAGGACCATTGAGTCCAACCTTTGACTGAACACCACCATGCCAGCTAAACTAAAGTGCTAAGTGCCATGTCCAATCATTTCTTGAACACTTCTGGGGTTGATGACTCCACCACCTCCCTTGGTCAGTCCATTCCAACGTCAAGTGTGTAACATGCAAATGCATATTATATGCATATTCAGTGCAAAATGTGTAACAAATAAGTTATGTTGCAAACAGAAATAACATGCTACTGTTTTAGACCATCATTCTGTGCACTTAATGTGACATTGGTTGTGATATAAAAGCTGTGTATGATCATCTAATCACATTTAATATTACCTTCACAAAAGGACAATAAATTAGGAATTCCCTTTCCAAATGCCTGAATACGAGTCTTTAAAATTGAATAACATGAATTCAAATATGGTAGGGTTGGCTGCGGGTTTTTTTCTGAAGATATACAGAAATCTATATGGAACCGAAAATTTTGAATATAACTGTTGATTATAGTGTATCCTGCATTTCACATTCAGTAGACCATTTATTTGCTAGCACCACAGTAAGCATAACTCTTAAGGACAGCTTGAAATGGAAGAGTATGAGTGTTTTCTGTGTATTTGTAGTAGAAGAAGATATCTGTATGAAAAGGTGACACAAAGTTAGATAAAGGCAAGTATTTAAGACATGAATTATAATTAGCCTCATGAGTCCATCACTTCTCTAGATTTCATTTTCTTAAGGGAAAATTAAAGGCATGTATTATAGAAATAATTCTTCAGGAGGGAAGCAAATTAAACATTATTTTAGCCTTTCCATACTTTTGGATTCTTATGTGGAGTATACTCTAAGCAATGCAACTAACAGCTACCCCATGAATTTCTCTAATCACCTTGACCTAAGGAAGAGGAAAATGAGAAGAAAATGTGCAGTGAAGTATCATTTTTTGGCAGTATTAATATTGTACTTCCTCAAAATACATGTAGCTCCGTATTTATATTAAGAAAGAACAAAGTGAAAGATATATCATTACTGTAGAAAGAGTTGCTGAGGTTTGTGATTGTTCCTCAAGAAGCTCATTTCAATCCTTCAATTTTCTCTTGTTTGTTAAAAATAGCAATATTCTTGTCTCTCTCAGAAAAAGAAATCTCAATTAAATGGGTTTGTCATCTTACTAATATAAACAAACAAACAAACAAACAAACAAAACCAGAGAAAAATCACTTGACTTGGTACCAAAACTATTCAGAACTGTAACATTGTCAAGTCACTAAGTTGTACATATATCATGGAATTTCATATTTGAGAAATTGCATCTCAAAAGCTGAGAAATGGGAAGTCACTCTGTAGAAGACGAGTCCTGCTCTGATATGACTGTTCTTTCCCTTTGCCCTTGATTTCCACTGAACATAAAAACTTAAAAGCAGATGAAGTCCTTACCTCTATTCTACACAAAACTCAATAAAAGCAACAAGCCTCCACCCCTGTAAATTGTCTTCAGAAACTGGATAGCAGATGAGTTCAGGAATTAAGATCACTCACTCAAAATGAGCATTCATGGTGTTTCTCCTGTTTTCCTTGTACTTCCCCCTTTTACCTCCCAAAAGTGAAAATAATTCAGTCTATGACACAAAAATATCAAAAATAGCAAAATATGATGAAGCCCATTATAACAGCTAGAAACACAATAAAATGTGGAAAGGAATAGAAGGAAAAAAATCCTTAAATTTGTATCAGGGAAAAATCTGCCTGTTCATCTACCATTTTTTCCAACTATTTGCAATCTGTCTTTTTATTTTGTTTATTTCATCAGTGTTTTTACTCTCGTCTACCCTCAAAACTGTCTGATATGTTTTCCTGTCCTTAAATATGGAGCCAAGAGACCCAATTAGCCTCCACCTTTCCTCTGAAGTGGTTAAGCAGATATTACTGAAATTAGAGTAAGAAAAAGCCATGTTATCTTAATTAAGTGTTTCAATTCCTTCACACCTGTTTTGTCTTAATGCTGTCAAGTCTCTGAAATGCCTTCTAAACACTGAATTTCTAAAAAAAAGGAAATAGTGAGGAAAAGCACTCCTAATTTTTATCAATATAAAAGCAAACATGGTACAAGTCTTTTTGCTCTTCAAAAGGTCTAACTATGAAAACTAGATTATTTTAAAATGTATGTGTACAGTACCTTATGGAAATTAGTCCACTTATATGCTAATTCTTTTTAATCTTTTGTGGGCAATTTTTATAGCATTAATTTTGTTAATGCAGCTTTTTATCAGTTTTTCCAACCACCACTAATAAAAGAGACTTTAGAAAATCTAGTCTGCTTATGAGAAACTAGTCTTACATACAGGAATGTAAAACACCCAAGAGTCTTCTTTGTCTTTTCTGCATTGACACACAATACTTAATTCATGGTGAATTTTCTGTTGCACTGGGGGAAGTTGGCTGGGAGGGGCTGTCACTTGTTGCGGCCAGGTGGGGCTTTGGTCAGTGGGTGAAAATGCATTGTGCTTCACTTGTCTTTTTTGGTGTTTATTCCTCTTTCCCTCTTTCATTATCATTATCATTAGTAGCAATAATAGTAGTAATGGTAGTAGTACATTTTTGTTTGAATTATTAAACTGTTCTTATCTCAACCAATGAGTTCTAGCTTTTTTCTGATTCTCCTTCTCATTCTGTTGCAGAGAGAAAGTGGCTGCATGGTACTTAGCTGCCTGCTGGGGTTAAACCATGACAGTACTACCTGACCTCCCATCATTTCATATATTTGACATGCCACTCTGTGGTACGGAATATCCCTTTGGCTAGTTTGGGTCAGCTGCCCTGGCTGTGCTCCCACACAGCCTCTTGTGCACCTGTTCACTGGCAGAGCAAGGAAAACTGAATAGTCCTCAGTTTAGAGTAACCACTACACAGCAACAACCAAAACAACAGTGTATTATCAACATTATTCTCATACTAAATCCAAATCACAGCATTTTACCAGCTACTGAGGAGAAAATTAACTCTATCTCAACCAAAACCAGGAAAATAACCCCCGAAGTCTGCAGCATAATCAAATGACAAAATAGTAAAAGAAAGCCTAGAAAGACTAATGTAAAAAATAAAAGCTTCCCAAAATTCATACATTATTTCATCACAATATGAACAAATGGTTCTTTGATGCTGTTTGCAGACAAATCTTTATCATCTTCATTAGATCATAATGGAAAGATAACATGTTAATAGTATTGATATAAAAGCAGATTGTTATGGCATGCAGTAATAATATTTAGTCAGAGAGTTTCCATGGAGAAAAAAGACGTACAGTTTCAGCACTATACGAAGTGCTGTGATGTTTCCCAGAATGAGATTGTGTTTGGTTTTCCAGGTTAAGTAGTTGTCTTCAAAACACAAAGCTGTCCACTGAAATGCAAAGCATACTTACACAAAGTCAGACATCCCATTGGTGTCTACTACTAAGGATTCATAACAGCCTCTGGCCACAGGTGAGCACTACCAAGTACAGACTAATTCTAGATGGAAGTAGGCAAACATAAGTAGAGTAATTGCAAGTAGATCTCAACTAATGGTGTCAGTTAATTAGAACTTCCCTGAAGACTGACCAGTACAAAAAGTTGGCATTCGAAGACTTTTAGGCATTTTATAATTTAGAAATTGAATTTCTCCACCACATGTGTTTTAT